CCCTTACCCTGTTCCTGCTGCTCTCCGGGGCTGGGGGCCTGACCGAGACCTGGGCAGGTGAATGCGGGATCAGGAGGGAAACAACCTTTACCAAGGAGTGAGGGGACCGCCCAGCGGAGGCGCAGGACTCCAGAAGCCGCGTTTCAGCCGCCGCAGGTGGCAATCCCCACCTCCGCTCCGGTCCTTTCCTCGCTTATTCTAAGCCTGGCGCCCCCCACTTCGGCCCCGCCCTGGTCCCTCCCCTGACTCGTGTCCCCTGGCCCCTTTTTCTGTCGCACGAACCCCCGCACCCCTTCCTACTCTCCGTGAGCCATCAACCTGCATCCCGGGTTGCCGCGCCGAGAGGAGTCGCCCCGCGCCTCAGCGGCTTCCCTTCCCCAGGCTCCCACTCCCTGAGGTATTTCTACACCTCGGTGTCCCGGCCTGGCCGCGGGGAGCCCCGCTTCATCTCCTGTGGACTACATGCAGTTCGTGGGCTTCTACAGCGACACCGTTAGTGGGAGGAAGGAGCCCCGGGCGCCGTGGGGGGATCAGATGGGGCCGGGGTACTGGGACCGGGAGACACGGATCTCCAAGGACAAAACAGAATTTCCGAGTGGACCTGCGCGCCACGCTCAGATACTACAACCACAGCGAGGGTGCTAAGTGACCGCGGGCCTGAGTCATCCCGGATGCCCAGGTCCGAGGAACACCTCGAAGTGACCCTAGACCCGGAAAAGGCCCCTGAGGAGTCCTAGCCAGTTTCATTTTCAGTTTAGGTAGCAATCCCTTCGGTTGGGCCTGGTGGGGTGGGGTTAAGTGGGCAGGACTGACTGACGGGCGGGGCCAGGCTCTCAAGACCTTCAGAGAATGTCAGGCTGTGCTCTTTGATCTGTCGCGCACCTCTTCCGCGGTTATGATCAGGACGCCTAGGATGGCATGGATTACATCGCCCTGAGCTTCTGGGTTGCAGCAGACACCCCTGCTCAAACCACCTGGCCCAAGTGGGAAGCGGCAGATGTGGACAAACGCGCAAGACCCAGTGTGTGGAGTGGCACAACAGAAAATGTGGGAAGAACATGCTGCAATGAGCAGGTACTACGAGCTGCGGGGTGTGGCCTCAACTGTTTCTAGATCTCTCCGCAAGAAAATAGATACTTCCCACCTTCTGGAGGAAGGAGCCCTCTTAGTTTTCCAGATGCTGTGCTAAAGAGTGATTCTGAGGCCTGCCCTTCTCTCAAGAAAACTAAGATAGGCTCTTCCTGGTTGGAGGGGAAACAGGACCCTGAAATTACTGTAACCAACAGTTCTCTTGACTCTGGCCTCAGCCTTGGGCCTCACAGGGCTACACAGTCTTCCTGTTGGGCTTTGTTCTCTGCCCCAAGCTGGTGTCTTTGGAGGTTTGACTCAAGTTTTTATGATTCTCTCTTAATCCATCGAGGTCGGAACTCCTAAACTCTCAGGTGCTTAGAGAATCTTACTGTGGACTGTCCCAAACTCATTATAGAATTTTCCAAGGAACAGATTATCCCAGAAGCATGGGTCCAGGCTGGTTCTGGGTTTTAGGGCTGCTTCAGTGGCCCAGGAGAGGTAATACAGATTGTCTGAATTTTCCTCTTCTTCCTCTCAGACTCCCCCACAAAGACACAGGTGACTCACCACCCTACCCATGAAGGAGATGTCACCCTGAGGTCCTGGGCCCTGGTCTTCTACCCTAAAGAGATCACCCTGATCTGGCAGCGGGATGGGGAGGACAAACTCAGGACATGGAGCTTGTGGAGACCAGGCCTACAGGGGATGAAAAGTTTCAGAAGTGGGCAGCTGTGGTAAAGCCTTCTGGAGAGGAGAACAGATACATGTGCCTTGTGCATCATGAGCCCCTCACCCTGAGATGGAGTAAGTAAGGGGATGAGGGTGCTGGGCTGTTGAGAGCCACAGCCGAAGCGGCCCCAGCAAACTTCCAGCTGATTGGCTCACCGTGGCCCTAGCAAACTTCCAGCTGCCAGCTGATAGGCTCCTCTGCGGTGATGCTCGTTGGTGTAGTTACACCTGATCAAACTTTTACATTTTGAGTACCCAAATAATCAGCTCAAAAGGTAGAGCTTAATGCAGTATTACAAGCTTTTGTGATGTTTAAAGATTCTGTATTTAATTTATTTTCCGATAGTCAGTATATAGTTAATGCTATAGTATCCCTTGAAGCTGCTGGTAGGATTTCCCCTTCCTCTACTGTTTTCTCTTTGTTTTCCACTATACAAAGTCTAATCTGGGACAGAAAAGATTCATTCTTTATAAGACATATCAGGGCACATACAGGATTGCCTGGAGCCCTTAGTTTGGGCAATGATTTAGCAGATAAAACTACACATGACATACATATTTTCTCTACACTAGAAGAAGCTACAATTGTGAACAAACAGGACATTTTAAAAGGAATTGCCCCATAGGAGGAGGATTTAACAAAACTAGGTATCAAAGGAGTAGAATACCAGGTATTTGCCCACGATGCCATAGAGGGAGACATTGGGCTAATGAATGCCGCAGTCTGGCTGGGCATAATTCAGGAGCCACTTATCAAGCAGAAACAAACTTTATTTTTAGAACACACCCTGCACCACAGGAGCTCTTCAGGAATTCCCTCAGAGCCCAACTGCGACCACTAGCTTACAGCAAGCCTCTCAAACCCCCACTCCTCCTGCTCTTGAGGCCGATTGGCTGGGTCACGTGGGCAGAGCCAAGAGTCCCCCAATGAGCAGCTCCATGGTCTGAAAGGGCGGGGAAACAGCTCAATGAGCGTCACCGCAGAGGAGCCAATCAGCTGGCAGCTGGAAGTTTGCTGGGGCCAAGGTGAGCCAATCAGCTGGAAGTTTTCTGGGGCCGCTGTGAACCAATCAGCTGGAAGTTTGATGGGGCCCCTTCGGCCTGTTGTCAGGAAACCAGGAGCTGTTCTATAGTTTCTCAGCAGGGTCAGAACTGAGAAGTGGGGATCAGGGCACCACATCTTCTCTTCCAGTCTCTTACCTTCCTAAAGCCACATCCTCAGCCCACCATCTTCATCATGGGAATTGTTGGCCTGGTTTTTCTTGGAGCTATGGTCATTGGAGCTGTGGTAACTATCAAGATGTGGAAGAAGAGCTCAGGTAGGGAAGGTTATGGTCTGAGTCCTTGTTCCACTGGGAGGTTAATGGGAAGTAGAATCCACACACCCATGCTTTCCCAGCCTGGAGCCCTATTTGCTGATATTCTGTTATAAAGCACATGGAAAATAAAGGACAGATTTATCACCCTGATGATGTGGTGATAGAGGTCAGAGGAGAAGTTCCCTGATGAGGACAGACTTCCAGGAAGGCATCTGATCTTCTCCCTGAATGTCTCCTTTCTTCATGTCTTCTGATCCTTCCCTAGGTCTATAGTCATACCTTTGGAAATTTCTCTGGGGTGGGGTCCAGAATTAGAAGATTCCTCTAGTTCTGGCCCTTCCTTCTCACAGGATGTTTTCTTCTCACAGGTAGAAAAGGAGGGAGCTACTCTAAGGCCACCTGTAAGTATGGAGAAGGGTGATCCCTGAGACACTTGGAAGAGTAAAGGGGAGCTAATGTGGGAGCTCAAGCACCCCATAATTCCTCCTGTAGCCACATCTCCTATTGACTCTGACCAAGTCCTGTTTTATCCTACTCCAGACAGGCACAGTGCCCAGCATTCTGACAAATCCCTCTCAGCTTGTAAAGGTGAGATCCTGGAAGGCCTGAAGTGAGAAGTGAGGGACTCAGGATTTAAACACGTTGAATGTTGGGGGTGGGAGGATGTTCAAAGTACTCGCCACTTACAATGACTAATCTGAATTTGTTCATGATTATTTTCTTTAATAGTGTGAGACAGTCACCTTGTGTGATTTGTTCAGGTCTCCCCACCATCTCTACTGGGAGAGATGGCACCTGGCTTCTCTTTCTCAATTGACATCAGACTGTGTCCGTAAGTCTGTGTTCCTATAAGCATAGTGTGAAGAAATGGGGAGACCAGCCCATTCTTGAACACTGAGACCCCTTTTCACACTGACATGTGGTCTCTTCCTTATCAACCTTCCTGTTCCAGCAAAAACAGGGCTGGGATGTCTCCATCCCTGTCTTAACTTTATGCTACACTGAGCTTCAACTTCTTACTTCCCTATAAAAACAAGAATCTGGTTATGGATTTATATTTCAAATTCTTGCTAACATATGTTATTACTGAGTTAATAAATGAAAATAGGAAGATTTCTAAAACTTGAAAGAGAAAATATAAACTGAAACCTTCCAGAATCTGTTGTTGCTGTGCTGAGTGTGTTGCAGGTGGGAACAAGAGAAGGCTGTGAATAGCCAAGTGTGGACAGGGCAGTGACCAGTCTGTGGGCAATTCATCCTGTGCTTGGATGTGGTCACTCCTCATCTGGGTCATCTTACCTGCTTTATATCTTTGTACATTTAGAGGAACCTTGTCCCACCAGAACCTGTGATCACAAGGACTCAGACATTGAAAAGGCTTTGTCCTTTCTCCAAGATCATGGGCAACAGGAGAATTCTGAGGCTGTACAAGCCTAGGCTCTGGCCTGAGTCCAAACTTCAGTCCATATCCTTTTTAGTTTCTTAATTCATTTATAGAACATATCTGTTCTTATTCTTGTATATGAGTTCTGGCCTCATCCTCCTCTCTGTGTCCCTGTCTCTGACAGCAGCAGGAACTATTTTCCTGTCATCGTCACACAATGCCTAGGCTAGTCCCTGCACACAGGGTTCTCTGTGGTATCCAGCAATTAATTTTCAGACATGTCCAGCTCTTGTCCTCATGCTAAGGTTATTTCTTGGATTGTATTTTTAAGCATTTCTCCAATATATTTGGTACCAAGGATTGAACCCAGGAGTGCTTAATCCCTGAGTTACATCCCTAGCCCTTTTTATTTTTTATTTTAAGACAGGGTCTCCCTAAGTTGCTTAGGGCTTTGCTGAGTTACTGAGGCTGCTCTCAAATTTATGATCCTCCCACTTCAGGCTCCCAAGTCGCTTGGATTACAGGCATGCACCATCAAGCCCAGCTTCTCCAATATTTTTTAAAGGAACCAGATTTAGAGAATAGTGGAGAGGAAGGATCCCATGATTTCTAATATTAGATAAATTCCTGTTAGGTTTTTGTCTCCTCTACTCACTTATGTCCTCTCCCTGCCCTTAGCTCTATGAATCCTAGCTCTGGCTCAAATTAATACTCCTGGATTTATATAGTAGAGTCTAATATAGATTTTTATTTGCTTGGCAAATAGGAACCATAAGTCAGGTCAGAGAGTGCAGAACTTCTAAGTCCAAGTGACCATGACCTGAGTGTGAAAGGACTTTGTGCTGCAGATGCTACAGAGCATCATTTGTCCTGCATTTACATTAATAAAGGTAGTGTCTCTAGCTTTCTCTGGGACGGTCGCGCAGGCAGCGGCTACAAGAAGCTAGACACCAAGCATCATGTATTACAAATTTAGTGGATTCACACAGAAATTAACTGGAGCATGGGCTCCGGAAGGCTATAGCCCACAAGGATTAAGGCCAGTGGTTTCCACAGAAGCACCACCTATCATATTTGCCACACCGACTAAACTGACCTCTAGTCCCACTGGTTATGATTATGCGAAGAACAAGGTTCCAGAGCTACAGAAGTTTTTCCAGAAATCTGATGGTGTGCCCATCCACCTGAAACTAGGCCTTCCTGACCAAATGCTGTACCGGACCACCATGGGCCTGACTGTGGGAGGGACCATCTACTGCCTGATTGCCCTCTATATGGCTTCACAGCCCAAAAAACAAAGAAGTTAGGCTACAGATGATTGTTTTTTTGTTTTGGGGGGTTTTTGTTTTGTTTTGTTTTGTTTTGGCATAAACCCTTTGAAATTTCATTGTTTCTCCCCCACACACACACACTTCTGACTTGAATGATTTATTTAATATTTTTTAAAAAAATAAAAAAGAGAAAGATATGAAGACAGTATTTTGGTTTGCTTATGAAATGCATATGGCCTGTCAGATGTCAGGCTCATTTGACAGTTAAAACTATTATTTAAAGACACACACTGCACTGTGTTTTGGAACTCCTGATTTCCCTGGAGGTTCTGGATGAAGGTTGCACACAGGCTCATTAACATAAATCTGTGCTGAGATCCTCTGGGATTTGGGATTGCATTTTTATGCATGGAGCGCAAAAACCATTCTGGATTTAGGTGTGACTGAGAATGGAAGACAGAATCTAAGGCCAGGTGCATGAAATGAGGGGTTTGAGTCAGTAGTCACCTTGGGAATATTTCCATCTTACAGCAAAGTGTTAATAGCAATTAGTTGCAGCCTACCTGTATTCATTGGGCAGTTTATTTCAAAGGGTTATATGCCTCATCCCAGATCTTTAGTGAAATTTTATGTGTAATTGTTGTGTACTCCATCACGGGAACAGAGAACATTTGTTTAGTGTTGCACTTTAGACTTGGTATCTGTCTTGTTAATGCACCTGTGCCACAAATTCTACTTTATCTCTTATGGCTTTAAATTATGGTTTATTTTGACTATGGAATAAATATGTGAATGAAAACAAAAAAAAAAAAAAAAAAGACAGTGTTTCTAGAAGAGAGAGGTACTCTACAGTGATCACTCACTCACTGACATCTATTGAGTACTATGAATAGGATACACAATTTTTGCATCTAGGATACATCAGAGAAGTCTAAAAGGTCAAAATTGCCAGCTTTGTAGGGCAAGTGTTCTAGGAGAAAGAGGCAGAGGACACACTCTAAACAGCAAATAATAATAATAATAAATAATAATAATAATAACATGGTTCATGTTAGGAGGTGGCAAGTGTTATGAGGAAGGTGATCCAGAGTGTGAGAGTTGGGGGCAGGCAAGATGGCTGTTTTTCTAGGGTGGTCAGCATGTGCCTCATTGGGAAGATGACCTCTGAATAAAGATTTGAAGAACATGAAGGAATTCGTCATGAGGATGTTTGGAGGAAGTTTATTCTAGTCAGAAGGAACCTTCAGTGCAAATGCACAAGGCAGGATCCTGTCTGTGTGTTCTGGGGACCAAGGAATCTGTGATCTCCTGAGCAGAGTCATTAAGAGGAGCTCAGAGCCCCAGCCAGTTCCAGTAAGTCTGGAGGCTGTAGAGGTTGTTGGAAAGGTTCTTTGAGTGGGGCAGTTTTGAGCAAAAAGAGAAAATAGTACAACTTCTGTTTTCAAAGAATTACTCTGGCTGCTATGCTGAGAACAGAATTAAAATAGGTTAACAAGGCAGTGGGGAAAAGTGCAGGGAACTCCTGCAGTCCTCCATAATGGACATGTCAGTTATGTCACCAGGGAAGTGAGCAGAGGAAATGGTAGTGATTGGACTCTACACACATTTTTGAAGATGGACTTTACATATTTCCTAATGCACTAATTCTTGGGTATGAGAAAGAAAAGTAAAGAATAACATCAAAAATATATGACTCTGTAATTAGAAAGATGTAGTTGCAATCAGTGGGAATGGTGTAGATGCTTATAAAGGCATACCTGAGGAGGGGATGTGACAGATACTCAGGATATGTTAAGCTGAGATTTCCACTAAAAATTCAGGTAAGATGGCCACGTTGACAATGGGAAAGACAAGACTGGAGACATTTAGAGAAATTTGGGGACTGGAGAGATAAATTTGGGAAGTCACATCTTATAATGATATTTAAAACCTTGAGAACTGATGAGGGCACCCAGGGAGCAATGGCTATAGAAAAGAGAGGGTACAAGGACTGAGCCCTGAAGTCCCAGTGTGCCTAGAAACACATAGACCAGGGACTCCCAGACTTTTCTATGCACAATGTTAAGAGGATATCAGTTTCCAGGTCACCCAGGGCAATTTAGCAAGAACCCATCTCAAAAAGAACTGGGAATGTAACTCAGTGGTAGAGTGCTCCAGTGTTCAGTCCCCAATAAAGAAGAAGGAGGAGGAGGAGGAGGAGAAGGAGAAGAAGAAGACAATGATGATGACATAGAGAAGGAGGAGGAGAAGGAGGAGATGAAGATTTACAACTTAATGACAAGACAAACAACACTTTCCTTCCTGGACAAAATATGTGAAGAACGGTTCCCAGGAGAAGTCACTAATAAATACTTGAAAAGATGCTCATCCTCACTTGTCATCAAAGAAATGCATATTAAAACTACAATGAGATACCACCTCACATCAGCTAGAAAGGACAACACTAAAAATGCTTGTCAGTCAGGAAATTCATCTGGAAAAATAAAAGACCCAGAATAGCTAAAGCAATCCTTAGCAAGAAGAGTGAAGCAGGTGGCATCACTATACCAGACCTTAAACTATAATACAGAGCTATAATAACAAAAACTACATAGTACTGGCACCAAAATAGACTGGTAGACGAATGGTACAGAATAGAGGACACAGAGATAAATCCACAAAAATACCGTTATCTTATATTAGACAAAAGCGCCAAAAGACATATACTGGAGAAAAGATAGCCTCTTCAACAAATGGTGCTGGGAAAACTGGAAATCCATATACAACAAAATGAAATTAAACACCTATCTCTCACCATGCACAAAACTCAACTCTAAGTGGATCAAGGACCTAATAGAAGAAAAAGTAGACCCCAATCTTCATCATGTCAGATTAGGCCCCAACTTCCTTAATAAGATTTCTATAGCACAAGAATTAAAATCAAGTATCAATAAATGGGATGGATTCAAACTAAAAAGCTTCTTCTCAGCAAAAGAAACAATCAGTGAAGTGAATAGAAAGCCTACAGAATGGGAGCAAATTTTTACCACATGCACATCAGATAGAGCACTAATCTCTAGGATATATAAAGAATTCAAAAATCTTAACATCACAAAAAAATAATAATAATCCAATCAATAAATGGGCCAAAGAACTGAACCAACATTTCTCAGAAGATGATATATGAAAAAAAAATGTTCAACATCTTTAGCAACTAGAGAAATGCAAACTAAAACTACTCTAAGATTTCATCTCACTCCAGTCAAAATGGTAGCTATTAGGAATACAAACAATAAGTGTTGACGAGGATGTGGGGGAAAAGGCACACTCATACATTTCTGGTGGGATTGCAAATTGGTGCAACCAATCTGGAAAGCAGTATGGAGATTCCTTAGAAAACTGGAAATGAAACCATCATTTGACCCAGCTATCCCACTCCTCAGTTTATAAGGACTTAAAAACAGCATACTACAGGGACACAGCCACATTAATATTTATAGCAGCACAATTCACAGTAGCTAAATTGTGGATCCAACCTAGATGCCCTTCAGTAGATGAATGAATAAAGAAAATGTGGTATATATGGAATATATGAAATATTACTCAGCATTAAAAGAAAATAAAATCATGGCATTTGCAGGTAAATGGATGGAGTTTTAGAATATAATGCTAAGTGAAGTAAGCCAATCCCAAAAAACTAAATGCCAAATATCTTCTCTGATAAAAAGATGCTGATTCATAATGGGGATGGGGGTGGGGGGAGAGGAATAGATGAACTTCAGATAGGGAAAAGGGGAGGCAGGGAAAGGAGGGGGTATGGGGGTAGGAAAGATGGTGGAATGAGATGGACATCATTCCCTAAGTACATGTATGAAAACACACACACACAAAAAAAAAAAAAAAACACTTATAATAATACCACATATTAAGAGGATGTGCAGCAGGTGGAAATCTCATGTGTTACTGAAAGAAATGGAAAAATATTACACCCCATTTATAAAACAAAATTATTATCATAATTACTGATATAATTAAATATATATATATATATATATATATATATATATATATATACACTTGCCTATGGCCCAGCAATCCCATTCTTAGGTGTTATCCAAAAAGAAAACAAGTCTGCACAGACTTGTACTCAAATATTCATAGTGGCTTTATTTATAATAGACCCAAACTGGTAATGACACACCTGTTTATCAACTTTTCAGTATATATACCAATTGATAAATTAGGATTTCAGTAATATTTAGTAACAAAAATGAAATATTAATACAAATAACATGGATAAAGCTTAAAAATAATTATGTTATTAAAAAGACTACATTGCATATGATTGTATGCATATAAAATTCTAAAATAATCAAAAGGAGATCAGTGGTCACACAGGACTAGGGTGAAGGAAGGATCAAGCACAGGGGCATGAGGAAACTTTCTATGGCAAGGGTAGAGAAGTGAACATCTTGGTTGTGGTGACAGTTCCATGATTCTAAACAATCACCAATATTCATGTAATTCTATATCCACATTAGCACATTTCACAAAAATATCATAATAAACAAAAAGGGGGAAAGAAGGAAAAATATATTCTCTTTAAGATAAGTAAAAGCTGACAGAATTCCTTGTTAGCAGTCCTTCACCATGAGTAATTTGGAATGAAGTCCTGTAAGGAAATGATACTATATGGTAATTCATTCATACAGAAAGGAATAGCAACACGAATACTACATATTTAGTTACTGAGGAAATATTTTACATTGTTCTCATACTTATCCTTTCTGGATACTATTGTTTTAAGAATTGGGGGCAGGAGGTAGAAAGTCCTTAATTTTAGCCAGGTGGCTAATCTCCTCTAGGGCCACAGACTCTGGAATATGCTGAACAGCTCAGACTCACATCTCAAACTCTGGACACAAGAGAGAATAAGCACAGAGATAGAGTTAGGGGTGGGACCCTACTTCAACTTGCTCCTTCCTCTCCCAACATTCCTCCTCACACTAGAGACTTCAGTCTCTCCCAAACTCCATGACTTCAGGAAATCTTCATGATGCAATTAAGGGAAGTAATCATGAGCTCCACAAACTTTGTGCCCATAAGCACCAACAAGAAGTCCTTCCTGAAGTCTACCCACCTCTATTTCTGTTGCAGCCTGAGTGTATTTCTCCAGTAGAGCTCAGGATATCCAGCTCA